AAATTTCGAATATTGTCATTTTTAAGATCAAAACCATTTTTGTAGTTTTTTTTTATTTGTGCCCAAGACTATAATTATAAGAAATTCAACTAAGAAGACTATTACTATATTATGTAACTAAATGTAATTAAGACGAAGCTTAAGGTTGTAACTTCTGCCAAGTCATTCTTATAATTATGCGACTAGTGCAAATTCCATAGTAAAAATGAAGGCAAGAATGATTCAGCAACGTTTAATGTAAAAACAAATCATTAATGTTCAAATTATATGCATATAAATATATGTCCAGTAGGTAGATTTGCTAATCTCTACACTGGTTTGTATATTTGCATAATATGCAAATTTGTCTCAATACATAAGTAAACTAGTGGGGTGTATGGCATTGTGCTTTAAGGCAAATTGCTGGAACTTCTCGTACCGTAACGAAATGTTCGAGGAATACAGAATGTTTTCAAATAGATTATTATAAATAAATACTGTAACATTGTCTAATATTTATAAGAACTATATAAGCTGAATTGCAAAGTTGAAAATATTTGTTTAAAGTATATTAGAACTTAAGTCAGAATTGCAATTGAAATCAGAAATATTTTCTATATACAAAAAAAATATTTTTTGAAAAAAAATTAGTTGAAACAAATTTTTTTTTTCCAAAATCAATTCGTTTGTTAAGACAAGCAGAAAGTTCTTTGAATCATTTAAATCGGACGCTTAGTTCTCTTAAAAACTGCCATTTTTTACATATTTAGCTCCGTATCTTCGAAATGGCCGGGCCTGCCTTTGCCAAAAACTAATAAACACTTCTCCGAATCATTACTAATTGAATGTTTTTTAGATCATTCAAATCGGATACTCTGTTCTCTCAAGAACTCGATTTCTATTTTCTGCACTCTTTGCTCCGTATCTGTGAAACGGCTGGACCTGCCTTTACCAAAAACTAATCAGCTCTTCTCCCTATCGATAGAAATCGAATGTTTTTTAACCATTCTAATCGGTTGATCCGTGCGCCCGAAAACGTGACCGGAAATTTGTATCCATACATACATACACACACACATCCATTTTTTCTGAGGTGTGCCAAAATGTTCAGAAACCTTCAAAACGTCGAGAAATGTAAAAATTTTCAATTTCGATTTTTGGCCCATTATAATAACTTACCCTACGGGAATTTAATAATATAAAGAAATTCTTATTCACATCAACTTACATCACTTGGGATTCTATATCCAGCCAAAACCATGTCCTTGGGATTTACTCTTAAATTACCAGGAGCAACAGGTACCATTCGCAAAGACTCTTTAATGCAGGCTCTCAGATAAGGCAAATGCCTTAAAATATCATTAGTTATTTGTCCTTTAGGCTCAGGAATAGCTTCTCTAAGTTCCGCTCTTAGAATATTTTGTTTATCTTGGTTTTTGGCTAAATAGTATAGTAGGGTACAAACTGCGGAAGATGTCTGGAATAATAGGGAAAAATTAATTCATTATCATAAATATAAAAAAAATTATTGATAGTATATTAATAGAATAGTTAATGGTGTGAGTTCTATAAAAACTTTATTTTCTAAGGAGATACTAGGTTCTGTTCTAATTTCTTCTAATTAGATTCATAATGATTGATAAATTTGTTAGTTGCAAAATAGCTATTTGTTAGTTGTAAAGTAGATATTCGTTCAATATTGTTTTGTTATCTCCCCAATCTTTTATCATTTATTATTCTGATTTAAAAATTCGTACAGTGTCAATTCCTGCCATCAACATGTCCATGGCCATAACTTGTCCAATGGTGCGGTCGATGGTAATCAGCCTTTCCACCACGCTCAACTCGTCTTCAGAATGTTTTGGTGGCGATTCGTCCAAACGCTTAACTGCATTCGAAACATGTCTACTTGTAATGCTGTTTAAAAAATATTTAGGTTAAAATCATGCTATTTTTATAGCTAGTAATTATTTTCTAGTTAAAATGCGTCAATGCAACTTGATTATGCAAATGATAGAAATTTAGCATTTTTATCTATTTTGCTTATTTTACTGCACAAAGTTCTGAACAAGCTAAGTTAATAACAGGTGCTCTGGTAATAATAGATTTATTTTTTCAAAGTTTCAAATATGTAATCAAGTTACTATAGAACAATTAAAAACCGTTAACAAATTTCTTCTATGCTCAATTATTTCGTAATATTTGATTTATTATTTTATATCAAGTAATGGTAGATAAATTTTGGATACCAATCTTTGTATACGTAAATTGATTAGTAGTCTTATGAGGATAAACGATCAATAATTGTAGAAATTTTTCAATTACTTATCAATTGCATTGTTTGCAATCTGCTATACTAAAATAAAAATTTCAAATATGAGTTAGGTTTTATCTTTTGAATGTTTCTAAGTTTATTGCAAAGTAATGGTTATGAAAATGGCGTTTCATAGACACAATTCTAAAGTATCTGCAGATTTATTAAAAATGGAAAAAAATTGCTCATTTTAACCTACAATTGGTGGGGAAGATACTTATATTTGCTATATATTATTCTTATATAACTATATAATATATGCACGTATAGATATATTTATTGATTTAATTATACTTACTCTCTTAGTACATCAAAACAGTCCATCAACTTATAATAGTTAGGCGTCCGCACTATTTGCCACACAGATGGTAAAATATCCAACTGATAAATCAATTCAAACATCATATGAACATGCTTAATCAGTTTTAGAGACTCTGATGTCGGATTGTCACTTATACTGCCCAATCTTGTATCTAAAGCAATTCTTCCAATAGATTCTAATGCCCATTTATTGACTTCCATCCAGAAATCGGAAGGCATTTCGTTGTTGGCATCACGGAGTTTTATCATCCTAAAAAAGTTAGATACATAATTTGATTTGATGAAATTTCAGCAATTGAAAAGGGATTTAAGCAATTCATACCGATTTATGAATTCTTGCGAAATCTGATCAACAGGTTCGACATATTTTCGAACTGTTTTTGGTTGCATCATGGCAGGGTTAACTTTGGTTCGAACCAGATGCCAATCGTAGCCTTGCCTATAGTAAAAATCATCACAATTGATAATTTTTTCACAAAAATGAATTCAAAATTATTGATTAATAATAAATTTTATATCTTACACCGTTAAAAGACCACCAGATTTAAACAATTCTGGTCTGTATTCCTTTCGGTAGTGGACGAAGCTTTCCAAGCCTCTTCTAACTGGGTATATGCCTTCATTTCTGTATACCTAAGATATATGGCCATGTTAGAGTATAGAAAATCAATTTTATATAAAATATGTCCACTTGCTAACCGTTTTTATATGTTCTGGATTAAAAAGTAACACAAGATCATTCCGATTTGCTATTCCTGTTAGCCGGACTATTTCTCCATATGTTTCTCTTAGTTTAACATACAAATCTGCCAACTGGAGATTATAAAATTCACCTAAATATATAAAATTAAGAACAATAAAGAAAAATTTGAAAAATATAATCAAAATAACAAAATCAAGGCTGTGATACGATATTATCAATATTATGATTAAAATGCTCTATCGACTTAAATCTTTACGTCATTTCTAATATTGATTTTATTATCATTTATCACGACAAAAATTTAATTTTAATCTAAATTAATTTTTAGATAAGCTGCACCTAAACAGTAATTTTGCATTAGTAGATTTAATAACTATAATCTTTATTTGGGTTAATAAATTCCAATTTTTTGACTCTGATTTAAAAATATTAATGTAGGAAATGTGTATATATTATTTTAAACAAAAAGTTTTTTATTAGCATATATCTAGATTTAAAAAACCATAGAACTTATAAAATTTTTATAGAATAAACTTACTTTACCTAAATTTCAAATAATCATGAAAATTGAATTTAATTAGTAAAAATCCATCAAATAACGTTCAAAATCACTTCAATTAATTACTTCTATTTTCGAGCCTCAGTTTAACTTTTTTTTATTTTACAAAACCACTAAAATTATTATGAAATATAATGTAATAAATATTTAAAATTTTATGAAATAATCAACAAAAATTTTATGCAGCAAGACAAAACTAATAGTAAAAAACTACATAAAACTTTTACTTGAAAGCATATGTGATTTGAAAACTACTGTTAAAACTTTTTTTGATGGAACGAATTTAAGTATTTACTTGATATCTCAAATTTAATTCAAATTATTTGTTTTAAATTGCTTTAAATATGTAATAAAAAAAATTGCAATACATAATTATTTAATTAACTATAAATAGAGCATAAAATGTTTTGAAAGTGAACATGAAAGTGAAAGATATAGCTATAAGAAATCAATCAGTCCAAATATTTCTACAAAATTAATTTTTAAAATGTACTAATCAATAAAAACTTGATATACTAGTAAATTTAATTTGAATATATCAATTATTACCTCCTGGTAAAAACCTATGCAAGTTTCCCACAATGGGTTTTGGCTTTGGACCTGGAATTTCACTATAAGGCAACGCACTCGCCCATTCCTTGCTTTCCTCGTCGGCTAAATTAACCGCATTAACCGTGGATAAACACTTTCCAGAACTATTTTTTAAATTTGTCAAAGCCCCTCGGCTTTGACCAGTCACTCTTTGTATTAATTTCATCGTTAACATAATAAAATTATTTAATTTTGGCCACTTTCTTTCATATAGAGCACTCTTTTCGCAATGAATTCGCGATTCGGAATGTGAGGTGCGACAGGTAAAAACACACAAGTTAACGTTTAAACAAAACGTTTTTTAATGTATGGAATATTGTTATCGTTAATTAGAACAATGGGTGACATAGTATGTTGTTTTTATTTGTAGTATCAAATTTATATCTTTTTTAGCATTATTTGGTAATGTGGTTATCACAGATTTTGATTTTATTCGGTTTGATTGAAATCATTGATGCGTCTGGATATTTCGCAAATTTATATACTTTAGTTTAAGTAAAGAAATATTTATTATTTAATTGTGCAATATAAATTAATGTAAAAGAATCATAATTAATTATTAGAATTTTGTTATAATTAAAATCAATTACAACTCTCACTCAATATTGAGTAGGTTTCTTTATTCATTAATAAAATATTTATATGCTTTAATTTAATATTTTTACTAACTTCATCAGTTTTTCATGTTTTATATTATAGTTTTTTAATTAATTACTTATTTAAAAACTAATCGTTGAACAAAATTAGTAATCTAAAATATATTTTAGTATTTAAATATAAAACTTAATCTATCACAGTTTACTTAAGCTTGAAATTTAATATTTACTTAAATATTTTATTAAAGATGTGTTGAATTAATTTAATATCTGAACAAGTTTTGAAATTTGCAAAATGAATTTTATGCATAAAAAGCAATAGGAATTATACTTAAAAATCTACCACCGGCATTTTCATAAAGTGGTGCTTCAATATAAAAGTAAGTAAATAACCTTAATAACTAAAACAATTTCAACCGACTTATACCTTAATAATATCTTATTTTTTTTAATTAATTTTGAAAATAATGTTATGGACGAATGGTAGTAAGAGCTTAAGTCAATAAAATTAAATTGAAAAAAAAATCCAACATTAATTTTTCTCGTTATTATCATTATTTAATAATTGTTTATTTAAAATTGTTAGAACGAATTACGTTTTATTAAGAATCACAGTTACCTACAAGTATTTTTGCACTTATTTACATAAATTACTTATTCCAATAATGCTTAAGAAAATTAATATATATATTTTTTATTAATTAATTTTGAAAATAATGTTATGGACCAATGGTAGTAAAGTTTAAGGCAATAAAATTAAGTTAAAAAAAAAACAACATTAATTTTTCTCCTTCATACACATTATTTAATAAATGTTTACTTGCTAGAACGAATTACGTTTTATTACAAATTCACAGTTACCTACAAGTATTTTTGCACTTATTTACATAAATTACTTATTCAAATAATGCTTTATCACTTGCGCGTATGATTACATTTTTTGTTTTTTAGCTATCTTGTCGTTTAGAAAAATTTACTAAAATTATTGGAATCGCACAGGTAAATTATTTATATGAACATTATTTAATTAAATAGTTTATTTTGCGAAAATTCCGACTCTATCTCGCGTGTCTGCCTTTGCACTACTGACCGTGAATGCGAATATTATTCTCAAACACTAGAGTAACTCTTATTCATATATAAGTCACATATACTAAATCAATTTGAATTGAGTTAGGTTGATTAAACATGCACAATATATAATAGTTTGTTACGTGATTTAAATTATACTATATAAAATATAACAAAATGTCAACTAAATGATGTATTTTAGCTATTGACAGAAATATTGACTGCGCGCTTTTGTAGTTCTAATTCGTATCTAATAATAGAGTTCATAAATGGGTTGAGAATTTTCCAAGTATAATATATATGTATATATATATATATATATATATATACATATATGTTCTCATCAGGAATGATAATTGTTGAATAGATTTTATGAAATAAAATAATGAGTATAAAATAAAATAGTCATCACTTTTATGAATTTTTTCATATCTTTAAATAAATATCTTTAAAAATCACTAAATATAAGCAATAATCAGACTACTGTATATAAGCATAAATCAGATAATAAAAAAATGCATACTAAAACATTTGATATCACATTACTAAAAATAGAGTTCCTGCAAAGTAACAATAATCTTCAATCATATAGTTAAATTGAGAAACCTATAAATTAAAATATAAATAATAAAATATAAATAAAAATTATGAATTATATTATTAAATTATTGAATTAAAATTTTTATTATTATATTAATTGAAAATTATGAATTAAATTATAAAATTATATAATTATCTTATTAAATTGAGAAGGGGTTAATTAAAATGATATATGAAAGTTTTGACAAAATACGAATAATAATAAACATGAATTATTGAAAAGGTTAGTGACAACATGATTAAATCTAATATTTTCATTTTTTCATTTAAACTTATACTTATACTACTTTAAAAAATTTATTGAATTAAATTCTATTTAATTTTTTTTTTTGATTTTTACTTTATTTTCATATTTGAGCTTTCTAAATTTCACATTTGTAGAAATACTGGAATCATTGACGTCAGAAAGCTCTAAGTGCACATGTACTCGATATGTACTTGATGTACTTTCTAAATAACGTGAGAAAATCAATAATCAAGATTATCTAATTCTGAATATTATTTTCAAATGCTATAAAACATAAAATTAACGCTATATAAATTTATCAATAAAATATAATATAATTACTGATGCAATTACTAATATAATATGTAATAATATATTATATTAGTAAATTCTACTTTAAGGTTCTCAGTTTTTTGACTATAAATTTAAGTGTTTAAAAGCCTAAAATAGATAGTATTTAAAATGAAAACCAGTTTTGTTTATACTGTTTGCGAAATACGTCATAAAAACGAGGAAGTTTGTTCTTTGGTAGGCGAATAAGTGAAGGTCGATCACAGCTTCCAAATCAAAAGATATAACTTCAACATAACCTTTTAGAAAATGATAAAAGTTTTGATTATATTTTTACTTAATGAATTAATAAAATTCTCACTTTTTTGGTACCATGTATTCAAATATCGAATATTTTACATAAAACTAATTAAGTTGTTTTTCTGCTGTTTAGTTCGGCTGAGGCATAGATAAAATATGTATTAAATAGAGAAAAATAAAAGTATAAATATATATATGTTATATTAAGAAAATCAGTTTTTCAAACAAAAACTCATGAATTTGAGAGCTACAGTGCCAAAAACACTAAAACAGGATTATTTGTTCTGTGTTTACTTTCCATGGGCTGGGTTTTTACAAGCTCATTTGAATAACATTTAAACATTTTTAATTTCTAGGATAATTATCATATTACATAAGATAAGATTTTGTCAATTTATCAGTTTAGTAAAATGAACATAAGATCACCTAACTATACCAATAAGCTTTATCTGAGTTTTTAGTTCACCTACTACTTTCTTTTTTATATCACTATACGTTTTCATGATTTTATGAGTTTATAATAAAATATTATGTAGTAGTCATACCTAAATTTTAAAAATTTAAAACTTTAGTTTATCATATTTAGTTTTAAAATTTAAATTAACAGGTTCTGAAATAAATTTCTATGAATTTTCGGTGCGGAGCTTTGATTCTGTATGTTGCAATGGCTGCATATAGATACCACCAATGTTTTCTGCAAAATAATATCGATTAAATACTTTAAAAATAATTTTGATATGGTTTTTAGTGATTATTTTTACCATTATTATATATTTATTTTTAAGTTTAATTATTATTTGTTAGTATTAAATATGAGTTTAT